GTCAAAACTTAGAAATGCTTTCTTTTTTTTTTTTTCTTTTACAAAACGTAAAATAAACATTGCAAATTTATGAAAAATTTGAACCAGTTTTAAGTGTTAAATTCAAACGCATTTTATTTCTAGTAACCAAAAAAGCCTGTTAACTGCACTGTGTTTGTTTGAAAATAACTTTTTACCTTTATTTTCTTATCTGTATCTTTCTACTGTCGGATCATTCTTGGTGGTCTTTTGGAGCTGCTTCATGGGTGGCCAACATTTGTTATATTAAGCGTAATATTACAAAAAAAATCAGTTAATTCAAGTGAAATGAATTAAAACATCTATTGAGATTTATGAAGGTTAAGAAATAGCTTTAAAATTTTAGATGAAATTAAAATGTATAAATTACACTTCTATACTTAAGTGGTTTTTTTTTTTTTTTTTTTTTTTTTAAATTTAAAAAAAAAAAAGTTAATTCTTTTCTGATAGGTGCAAATCCAAAGTGATATCTGACAGAACCCCACAATTATTTAAATGTTACCACAATTTTTTTTTTTTAACATTTTCATAGTCTTTAAAACAGTTTTATAAATCTGTTCCTCATTATTATCATAATTGTTTTTTAATTGATAATTTTCAGAGGTATTTAATTAGGGGAAAGGTACAATTAAGAAAATTAATGGAGTATTTTATTTGAAATATTACATAATTTAGTTATCTGCTTCTAAAGCATTTTCTAAACAATTATTTATTTTTTTTTTGTATTTAATTTCAATAAAAACACGCTTTCTTATTTTTATTTACCAGTTTTTGCATCAGAGCAGCTGTTCTCAGCCACACCTTAGAACACCTGAAAAAATGTTAATGCTAGCAACCTGACAAATGAATACCTGTTATTCCAATAAAACTAGCATAGTACTGACAGAATCTGTGTATCCAGGTGCTCTGCCTAGGATCAAAGTATAGTTTATATATATATATATATATATATACACTAGCAGTAGAGCCCGCCGGCATAGCCCGGGGATATAACAGTAAGAGATAGATCAAGTATCGACCATCATAAAGACTGAAAAATAAAATTGACAAAGATTATTGTTTAAGGTTGATGGACACGCATGTCTTAATTAGTTTTTTCTTTTTTTTTTTTTTTTTTACGAATTGGTCAAACTCAAACAAAAACATTGTTTACAATCGTTATGAGTCTATTGACTGATGAATAGAATTTTATTATAAACAATTGTCTGGTAAATGGAATTTTTAAAGCATTCTGAATGTAAAAATAAAGAAAAAAGTGTGCAAGACAATAAGAAACACTACCTGCCAAAAAAAAAGTGAAGTTTTGTTGAAATCGGTTGAAAAATGTAGGTAGCCTTTCTGTAATCTTTTACAATTTATGATTTTTACTTATTGAATACAGTAAAAAAAAAAATGCATATTTTGCTTGTGGTGATTCGTAATTAGAATTCTGATTTGAATATATTTTTCACTCGTTGTTTCTAATACAAAAAATATTAACTTTATTTGGGTTTATTAATTTATTACAAGGTAAGTACTGTATTCTTTCCTTAATAATTATCATCTTCGAAATATTGTTTTTTGTCTATTAGATTTCTTACGTTGGCATTTTTAAATTATTTCTTAATACTTTCTTTTAAATATTGAATTAATTTCAAATAGAACCAATGCCTTATTGATCTGCCTTGTAACAAATTGCAAAGGGAATTGTAAAAACGGCCCTAAAGTACGTGGAATTATCTTTCCCTAAAGATAAAGAATTATCCGATGTTTGGATTCGTACAATCAGTAGAGATCGTTAGATTATCGTTTAGGTTGACGGACACGCATGTTTTAGTTTTTTTTTTTTTTTTTTTTTTTTTTTAATTGGTCAAACTCAAACAAAAACATTGTTTTCAATCGTTATGATGAGTCTCCCGATTGAATAGAATTTTATTATAAACAATTGTCTCGTAAATGGAATTTTTAAAGCATTCTGAATGTATAAATAAAGAAAAAAGTGTGCAAGACAATAAGAAACACTACCTGCCAAAAAAAAAAAGTGAATGTTTGTTTTATTGGCTGAAAAATGTAGGAAATCCGATCCCATATATAAAGGAACACACAAACACGCACAATGTGGGTTTTTTTAACACGATGTGAGTTGTCCCCCTTTTATTCTCACGATGTCTTAATGGTGTTTTCAAATTGATTTTGTTAAAAAACAATTGTGTTTTTCTCATTTTCGGTGCTGTTAGAACCACCACAAGGTAATTTTATGTAGTCCTGTGAAGTTTTGTTGAAATCGGCTAAAAAAATGTAGGAAATCCGATCCAATATATAAACGTTACAGACACACACACAATCTGCGTTTTATAATAAGTAAGGTGTGTGTGTGGTACTTATTAGAAAGCACGCAATATCGGCGATAGAGCTAACATATTCAGTTGTATGGATATGAGTTTGTAACCCTGGGTTTCATGCTGCTCACAAAAGCGTGAAACCCAGGATTACAAACTCAAATCTGTGTGTGTGTATATATATATATATATATCTCCCCAAATGTAAAAGAATGTAAATTCAAACATTCATAACATTAATTTAAAAAAGGCTCAATACATGAAGTAGACCTATAAATATTTATTATAAACTGTTACAATGGGACATGCAAGTTACCGCAACAAAAATGCATATTTGTTTTGACATTGAAAGAAAAATGCATTTTTGTTGTTGTAACTTGCATGTTCCATTGTAACTGTTTATAATATATACACACACACGGTGCGATGGATAAATTGTCACCTAAATTATGCAGAAATGAAAATAACACCGACATTTAATTTTAACAGATATATTTACCAAAATTACACAAAAATATCTCTAAAGAGTAAATTTATTCAATAAAATCACGATTGGCTTCATCCAGCTTTCAAGAAAATCTGAACAAGGGGATATGTATTTCTTAAATATGGTAGCTAGAACCTTGCTGGGTTGTGATGCTCTCTTTGGCTGGATCAGACTGGTTTCTTCCACAGAGGTTTGAACTGTTCTGGAGGGTGCATTTTCTTACTGTTTTCTGTAGAGTCTGGTGACTGGTAGATGTAATATACCCCCTTTAAAACAATGGTCCATCCCCTCAAATATGCATATCCTCTAATAATAATGTTTGAAGTAATAAAAATGTTCATTTAAAAATAAACCCATTAATTCTTTGGAAATTCTTGCAAAAATCAAATAATTGTTGGATTTTAATGAAACTTTCAGGACATTCACAAATGAGTGAAATTATTTTTGAAATTTTTTTTTTTTAATTTAGAAAATTATGGTAAATTTTTTTTTCTTTCTTTTTTACATGTGTTACCCCCACTTAATTTCATGAAATTTTAAGAAATTAAATTGCAATCTCAAAATTTGTCTTATTGGTTAACATTAGGAGTCTTTGGAGAATTTAAATAATTTTTTTATTTTTTTTGCAAAACAGGAACCCCAGTTACCACAAATCTGCTCTGAATCGTAAAATAAAATAAAAAAGAAAAATGCAATAAAACTATGACATTTAATTTGAAAAGTTTAAATTGTTTTATAAATAAGATTTAAGAACATTTGTCTTAAGAAAAATTTTTTTCCGATGAATAATGAATTTTTACAAGTACTGTTTTCACTTAAAAGATTTTGATTATAATAATTTATAATATAAATTGTTTAAAATTCTGCATTATTTCAATCTGGTTAGGTGATATTAAGTGAAAACTATATTTACAAATCAAAAATTGAAAAACTCAAAAGTTGTTTACCACCAATATTAAAAAAAAAAAAAAATTTAATTTATTTTTATGTATATAAAATATTATGGAGAATGTTTTTCAATATTTTTAAGATTACTGAGTACTTAAAAATTATAAAAAAAAAAAAAAGGCACTCGCTCATCATTTTCTTAAATTATATTTTAACAGATAGTCTCTGTAGAACAATAAATAAATCTGTCTACATTTTATCAATGCCTCTTAAGTGATCTTCAAGTGACAGGAACAAGCACGTAATCACTGCTACTGTTTGTTTAAAAAATTTATTTTTGCTATTTTAAACTTAAATATTTTTTCAAATCAGATTAATTATACTTTAAATCGGCTAATATTCCTCAGTTTCAAAAAAGTATATTTTATTTTTGGAAGATTTTGAAAACTGAGAATTAACTTTTGTTTACAAATGTCTCAAAAATATCTGATATTTATCAATTTTTTTTCGATTTTCTGAAAGAAACCAAAAAGTTGAGATTCCAATTTATATAACTTCTACTTAGAAATACACCAGCATATTTTGCTTACTGGAAATAATAAATTTAATCATTTAGCTTTCCATGAAAGCTAAAATGAAAGCTTCAAGAATGCTTTTTCATTTTTAAAAATTCATTTGAAACTGAATGGAAGTGCCTATATAAATATTTCAACTATAACAGCCTGCAAGACAAGGACCAAGAGCCACTCAAGTAGAAGGTTACTGAATGAGGTTGTAATATTGTAAAGGGAGGAAGTAAGAAGTGCATATTATGAAGATATAACAGTTGACTCTAGTCATGAAAAGGTTAAGATCAGAGAGATTGGGGAAGTATCTTCTTGGGTGTCTGTGCTATAAAGTAACAGTTCTGTGGAACTTCCTCCTTACCAATGAAATATGAAGGGAATGAAGATGAGTTGATCCTGAGTATATGACATGGTAGGTTGGATTAATGTATTCCTGGTGTGAATTTTACTAGCTATTTTGATTCATTCATTTTCTATGACTTTAACACCCTTTTGCAGGTTATTTAAAACCAGAAAATTGTAAGATTTATTTTTTTTTTTTACAGATAATGATTTAGTGATACATTGCTTATTAACCCATAGCTGGGGGAGAAGATTTGGGTCCATACCATTCCCAAGGGTATTAGCATGTAAGTGAATATAATGAACCCAACTGGAATTCAAACTTGGTTCTCCAATTAACAATTCTGAACCATTATCCATTATATCCTCTATATATCCAAGCTTACAGCACTTGGTATTCCCAAGTGGTCACCCATCCACATACTGAGCAGGTTCAACATTTCTTAACTTCAGTGGACATATGGGAACCGTTGTTTCAACTTTGATGCGTTGTAAACCTTGAATTTTACCAGGAAGTGAATTTATAATTGGTTGCTGGTTGGAATGAACATTGCTCTTGTTATAATTTAATATGTAGGGTAATTTACAATTAGTTGAGGGTGTTATGTAACAGCTATTGGGGTGGATTTTACAAGTGTGTGAATCTATACCTGCTGCCAATTAGAATAGGAATTAACTTGAAGTTAATGTGAAGTGCAAGGATGACCAATCTAATTAAATTTACCAGCATAACAGAAATACTTTAGGATCTTATTTTTCTAGTTAACTTTTAGAGTAATGAAAAACATTTACCTAATATAAAATGGATTACTTTCTAGAATTGTTTGGATTTGAACTTGAGAATTAGTAAGGTTTTAACTAGTATGATCAACTGAAACAAGGAGCACTTGCTCCCACTTTATTTACTTTGTTATATTGTTTATTGGAATGGTTGGCAAAGCATCGGTTAATTACCACTTTATAAAATGGTAAACAAAGATTTCCTTACAGTTGGTTCATATATTTTAATAATTTAGTAAATGTTTATAAATTTATGAATAAAAAATTGATTTTATATTTATTTCTTTATAAATTGGTAAATGATAAGTATTGTATTGCATTAGTCAAAATTATATTAATTTTTAAAATAGAGTAAATATGAAATAATTCTTGTAAATATACAATCTAATAGTGTTTATTTTTGTTGACAATTACCAAGAAAAAAGAAAATGTATAACTTTGCTAATGTTTAGGTTTTATTAAAATTCTAATCATAGCTTTTTAAAACAATAAACATTGCTGTGGAGTGAAGGTAGTTAAAATAATAGTGGTGTCAAGGGAAAAACTATCCTTTTTGACACTTTTTTGTTTTTACATTGGCAGCCTAAAATAAACAAATATAGAAAATAAATCCATGAGCATACATCAATAGAGTGAAATTCGCATTTTAAGTTTGTATATTACATGAACAGTTAAATAATTTTTTTAAGATGGCATCAAAGTCTAAAATAAAAGAAGAAAAAAAAGCAACAATTACTTTTTTTATTTACATTATTCGCCATATTCCATATTCACAATGTTTTGGCACATGGAACTAGAACAAATGTGGTGGAGACATACCTTTCTGAAGCAAGAGAAGGCGAAATGTCTGCAAGTTCTCCACTGCCTTAACCGGGTATTGAACTCACACTCTTTGGGTCCTGTCACTAGATCTAACAACACCTTTATCCACTGTGCCATGTGTCCTTGAGGACATCTGGTTATTATAAACCTAATGTCATCAGCAAACATTTTTTTTTACCAGTGCTTATATAGGCAGTGGAGAACTTGCAGAGGGGAATTAACAGGAGATAATTGATAACTGACATCCATTAAACATGTCACGTGGAACGAGAACAGTCTACCCCAGTGAGTGAAATAAAGGGTTCTGTTCAACATTCCAACCACCTGAAGAAGGTCGGAGCATACAACGGCCGAAACGTAATAAATATGGCGACAAAGATGAGGACAATAGTCCGAATAATGTAAATAATGTACATAATACCTCATCTCGGAAATATAGACAGATAGTGTTAGAATTAATTGTATTAATCCTTAATTACTTGCATGAAAAATATAACCTCATGATTTTTTGACATTATGGGTAAATTATCTTTTATAAATTTGTATAATAACTTCTGTTGGTTATGGAGAAGGTATTGTAAATTTCCTCACATATGAAGAAACTTGAAATAACAAATGAATGCTAAGAATAACACAGACCAAACATTTGAGCAACAAGGAAGTTTTGCAGAATTTGCATAAGGTTAAATTCTGTCTCCATGTCCCCACCTTACATCAGTAAAATAAAATAGCTTGTATTACTGACATGTAAGGTAAGTATATTTACCCAGCCTTTTCATTAAGGTAGGATATGACATAAAAGGATATTCCCCAACCTTTTATATGTATTTTATCAGTAATATTTAATTTGCGTAACACATTTTAAAAGCATATTTTAATAAATATTTTTATTGGGTTATTTATTTTCAATTCAAATTTTAAAAATTGTCAGATATAAAATCTTTTAAAGTTGTATATTTACATTTTTATAAAATTGGATAGTCAGTCTTTTTTTTTTTTTTTTTAATTTCATTTTTTTTATTTTTAAATTCATCACATTTGCATAGAAAGAATTTATCTGTTGTGTGAAAATTCAGTTGTAAGAAAACATACAGTGTTCATAATAAGCATTGTTATTGTCTGCTATTTCACATTGCTACAAATTATTTGAGTGGAGCCCAGAATGTTTTTGTGGAATTGTCTAATTAAAATAATTTTTTAATTACATTTTCTTAAAACTATGAGTTGTTTAAACGAGTGAAAAAATAGTAAATTTGATGAATTTATTCTTTTAATTTAAACATTAGTAAATTACCCAATATGTTTTTCTCATGGTCAGTTTTATATAGTTATGTCTGAGTAGGAAATTCAAATCGATTTAATATAATGACAAAGAAAAACTTCAGAAAACAGATGTCTTTCTGAAAATGTTGTATATACAGAAATTATAGAGTGATAAGAGAAGTTCTGTGATGACTTGCTTTTTGGTGTTTGTAGAATAGGTGTTTGATGAGTGTAGGAAATATAACCAATTCATTTGCCATTTTTCAATATTCCACAGGGTTCTACAGACAAATTTACCTTTAGTTGACCTTTTGACAACTAAATATTTTCGTTTACTAGCCAAATAGAAAAGTTACTAGCCAAATCGATGTAATGTTATTTCACTCTAATGTTATGAATAAAACAATTCCCGGTGAAGGTTTGTTTTATTTTCTAATTCTCTAAGACAATGCAGACAAAATTTATGGGAGGAAATTTAGAAATTTCAAGAACAATTACATTCAGAATACTTAGTATAATTCAGTCAACTGACAAATACATGTTTGAAAATCCCATCAGTTTCAATATTAGTTACTAAACTTGAAACAACAACCTCATAAAGACATTACATTTTCAATTGTTACCTGGCAAACTTTGAAAGGTGTCATTTAGAAATATTCAGTGAACTTACTGACAAAATTTAAATGCAAATTTGAAGTCTTCAAGATCTCATCAGTTTCAATATTACTAAACAACCTCAAACAAAAAGATCATAGATACATTATATTGAATCTAGAAACTGTAGAACTGTTTAGTTACCTGGCAAATATCACTCAGGATAATTCAGTCAACTGACAAATGCAAGTTTGAAGATCGCATCAGTTTCAATATTATTAAACTTGAAACAACAACAACCTCATAAAAACATTACATTCAATTCAACTGTTACCTGGCAAAGGTGTCATTTAGAAATATTCAGTCATGATTTGCAGTTATTGTAACACTCTTAACAACAGGTTTTTACCTTATTTTCAATTTCCCTATCAGGTTGGTAAATGTCACTCGGAAATATTAACTATATTAACTATAGTAATGCTGATCTAAGATCTTAAAGTGGGACTGGAAAGGGAAATGTCCAGATTGTCTGGCAAACACATACTGTGTCTTTGTGTTACTGACATTGAACTTATTTCTGTTTCAAACTGAAATTTTATCTTTTAAAATTTATAACTCCATTTGCTCAATATTGAATTGCATTTACCTTTTTATTCCAATTTCTAGTCCCACTTTAACACTTGCTCAATTTGAATTGTCAAATCAATAGCTTGTGACTCTAAATCTTTGTGTTTTCAGACAGTACTGCTTTGTCCTTACACTTTCGATCAACAGACACAATGTTAGCTGGCCAGTCACACTGTCTTGTCCCCCCAGCAATCCTTCTCCTGCTGTTTGCTATCCACTTGTCAATGGATTTCTCTGGGTTGAATTCAGCCAGATCTGGACTTTCAGAAGAAAGCAAGATTAAGTCTGACAGTCTCTGTACAGACAAGCTGCTCCGTATGTCGCTCTTTATTCTCTTCTGTGCAGAAAAGGCTCTCTCACACTCTGCGCAGCTGATTGGAAGAGTGAGCATTATTCTCACAAGATGAAGTACATTGCAGAAGTCAGTCTTGTATGGGTCCTTGGTCAGTAGGATTTACCACAGATCAGAATAAGACTTGTCCCTGAAAGTATTTGCAACAAAGAATTTCATGTGTCTCCATTCCGTCTGAACAACTTCCATATTGCATCCTGCAGCCACAAGAAGTTTTTGAAACCAGTCACAAATAATGTCTTTCATGATTTCCAAAATGGACAAGTTCCTTTTTGCATTCTGGTCATGTCATGATTGAACACCTTAATGAAACTTTTCACCACACCTTGAGCATCTACACTTGTATTTGTTCCCAGCAGATTTTGAAACCTTGACATCTGCACAAAACCCAACAATTCTCAATGACATTTCATCATCACTGATCCCCACTTTTGAAAGAGCAGATTTAGTAGCAGAGATAATGCCTTTAGTATGGCCATGTTCAATGGCAATAACTTCAAGTTTATTTTCTGCTTTGCCATTCAACATTGTTCCCACATAAACTGCTTCATTTTCTGACACAGAGCTGTCAGTGGCACCATCAATCATAACTGACACATAATGAGTCACTGATAGATTCCAATGTCTCATCTCTGATCGTGCTTGCAATAGTAGACATCATTTCACCACACCTAACATCGTTACTGTATGCAGGTGTCACTGGTAGCCCATTTTTGTATTGAAGTAAGAGTAGGGGCTTGAGTTTTGTAAAGGCCATTTCTTCCTTCCCTATACAATAAACTGTTAAATTTAACTTTCAAATCCGTCAAATCCTTTTTGTTTGATTTGATTTCTGCATTGAGAAATTTCTTGGCAATGTGAGACTTTTCAATTGAGTGTTTGCTTGTTTTGATAAAGTCGTGGCACTTGCTGTGTCTAAGAATTTTACTATGGGCAAGGACGTTTTCACGTTTAAATTTAGTACTACCATCTACAAAATCAGTTTTTCCAGCCAAAGTTGAACCAGCCCTACAACAAAAATCACAATACATCGCATTTTTTTCTC